TCCATCCATCCATCCATCCATCCATCCATCCATCCATCCATCCATCCTTCCATCCATTAATTATCTTTACCCGCTTCTTCCTTTTTGTGTAGCGGGGGTCACTGGTGCCCATGTCCAGCTTTCACTGTGTGAGAGGCGTGGTACACCCTGGACAGGTCTCAAGTCTATCACAGGAACACACAGAGATAAAACGAGACAAACAACCATTCACAAAACTTCCCAACAATGTGACTGTTTATATCTGGTCCTATGTTGTACCATCTGTTTTGGGTGATCCACTCATAAGATGGGTAAACTACTTGGATGCTTTAAATGTTCTTAGCATGCATTAAGAACACAGTCAGATCCCATCAGTCAGACTACATTTGAAAACTGGTTTAACTCCATGTCTCTGACTATGATGAAGGATCACCTCTAACTCAAGCAACTCAGAGCAAACAGAAGAGTTTTCACAAGAAATAAAGCCCAAACAACATCTCTCACAGCAAACCTCTTGTGCAGCTTGATTTACATTTTAAACAAAAGTAACTAAAATGGGTGTGCCTTTAGATAGTTGATTCAGAACTTATGTTTTAGAGTGTCACCTCTTGCCTGAATTGAACACATTCCCACTCTGTAAAACATGTTGGTTTGAGGCTAACATAATAAAACTATGCATAGAGCAAGGAGGGAATGGTGTTTTGTGTAACAATCTTCAGCTACTTTTATCTTTTGTCATCAAGTTATCCATCCATCCATTCTCTTCCACTTATCCAGTCGAGTCGCAGGGGTAGCAGCCCAAGTAGGGAGTCCCAGACTTCCCTCTCCCCAGCCATTTGGGCCAGCTCCTCCAGGGGAATCCCGAGGTGTTCCCACGCCAGCCGAGAAACATAATCCCTCCAGCATGTCCTGGGTCTTCCTCTGGATCTCCTCCCGATGGGACGTGCCCAGAACACCTCATCAAGGAGGTGTCCAGGAGGCATCCTAACCAGATGCCCGAGCCACCTCAACTGGCTCCTCTCGATGTAGAGAAGCAGCAGCTCTACTCTGAGTCCCTCTCTGGATGATCGAGCTTCTCACACTATCTCTAAGGGAGAGCCCAGACACCCTGCGAAGAAAACTCATTTCGGCCGTTTGTATCAGTGATCTCGTTCTTTCGGTCACAACCCAAAGCTCATGACCATAGTTGAGGGTAGGAACGTAGATCGACCAGTAAATTGAGAGCTTCACTTTTTGACTTAGCTCTCTCTTCACCATGACGGACCGGTACAGTGCCCGCTTCACTGACGACGCTGCACCTATACATACGCCTATCGATCTCACGCTCCATTTTTCCCTAATTTGTGAACAAGACCCCGATATACTTAAACTCCTCCACTTGGGGTAGGACCTCCTCCCCGACCTAGAGAGGGCAATCTACCCTTTTCAGGCTCATCATCAAGTTATTAACATCATTATTACTTTGCTCTCATATTATATCAGTTGCAAAACATATGTATTAGATTTTTGTTAACAGAATACAATTATTGACACATTGTCCAGTTTTAAGATTGGGCTTAAGACTTTCCTTGGGTCAATCCTATAGTTAGGGTTGGCTTGTTATGCTGGCATAGACTTGGACTACTGGAGGACAAATTGACCTCATATTTCTTTCTCAACATGTGATTCTCTACATGCCATTGTGCATCTATTCCTCCTTCCTGTTCCTATCAAATCCAGCCGGTTGACGCAGATGGCTACTTGTCCTGAGCCTGGTTCTTCTAAAGATTTCTTCCTCATGAGGGAGTTTGTCCTTTCCACTGTCGCCTTCATGCTTGCTCAAGATAAGTCTGTGATGAATTTAAACTCAAAGCAGTCTGCTCCTGAGATAAATAATGTTATTAACTTAGCTTTTATGTACAGTATATGAATGTTTCTGTTCAGTGTTCTGAGATTGACTTCTGTTGTGACTTGGCGCTATATAAATTTAATTGAATTGATTTGAATTGAATTGTGACTAGAGGAAGTCTGAAAACAATTTGCATGGACTTCTCAAGACCAGACAAATGCTATTTTCTTTGTTGCTCACAGTGGACTTTGTGGGATTAAGTCCACTTGTTTATATGCAAAAAAAAAAAAAAAAAAAGAGAGAGAAAGAGACTGAAATAAAAATCAATGTATTTAGTGGCATCCACTTGTAATTGAACCATTCATTGCACATATTAACAACAGCTGTAAACAGCCTCCACAATGACCACCTTTGTGCAAACATTTACTAAGATCATAGTTATTGCATCTAGAGAAGCTGATGAGGATGTTGAAATCTCATAGTGCAGGGGGTTTGTGCATCACCAGTTTGGTTTAGGGACACAGCTTGAAGACAAAGGGTTTTAACAACCTTATGTTTGCAGCTGAAATCAGCCTTTTTCACTCTTGTTTTTTTTTTTTTTTTTTTTAGATTAAAAAAGTCCATCTAATAAAGATGAGACCTCAAAGAAAATGTTTAAATGTCAGCATACCTGGATACCCACTCTGCTCCAACACTACAGCAACTTTATTACACACTAGGGAACATATGGGGGTCTTCGAATAGACTTTTTTGTTCTGAACCTGATTTTGGCTCCAGATTGTACCAACTGTCTTTATGTGTGCAATCAAGCTGGAGTTTAAGGTAAACAAACCACCCACCATCTTTCTGTCCATTCAATAAGAACATTTATAGAGTACAGTGAAGATTTGTTCTCTGTGTGAATCAATGTTAATCACATCATCATGCGGCCTCGTCCCTCATGGCTCTTTCTCTCTGGGGCTTCACACTCCTTTCTGGCCTTTTCTTCCTCACCCACTGCTTTTTCCACTCAGTCTCTGTCTCTCCCCTCCTCCCTCCTGTCTCCCCTCATCACTCGCCATCTGAGGCTACTTGCACGCGAGCCAGTCCTCCTCACGGGTCAGCACGGTGACGACTCTGACGCTGAAGTTGTCACCATTACGCAGAGAGCTCCCATCATACATCCATCATCTAATATCTGGGCATCACCTCTTACTGTTGTTCCCAACATGTTGTAAAGTAGACCTGTTTGAGGAAAATATAAGATAACCTGTTGAAGATCAATAAGATCAGACCTTTTGTTTGTTTTAGCAGGTGAAATATTTGTTCATAAATACTTTTTACC